TAGTAGTAGTAGTAGTAGTAGTAGTAGTAGTAGTAGTAGTAGTAAAAAAGCACCGATCATTGTTTGGGGTCTCACACACACTGTTTGGGGTCTGCCGGAAAGCCTTTGCGTCAACCAAACCACCTTGCTGTCCATCCTGGTTGACCCGTCGTCGCCCGAGCTGACGCAGCAAGCAAACGCGAACGGGCGACCTCTCAAGGGGATGGAAGAGCAAGTCCAACACACCTGCGTAGGTGTAGAACTCCTTGGAGAGAGCTGAATTGGAGCAGCCAAGGTAGGCTGGTAGGCTACAGCCAGCAGCTATGGTCGACCGGGAGGTGATTGTATGGACTCAACCGCCTGCAATGTTGTGGTGGTCCACCACCGACATCATAAGTGGTCCAGCTCCCCAAAGAATCAAACAACATATGTCGCTGGACTACCGTGCCTGAGGATCTTCCTTGAATGGTTGAGGTATACAATATCTCCTCCCCCCAACAAAGGCGTCCAAGTCATGTCATGCTTCAACAAGTCGGCCAAAACAGAGATCCCCAAAACCTCCCCCCAGGCGGTGGCTTCCCGAATCCTCCTCGGATTCCGATTCATCTGCAGAGTCACAGGGTCGACCCCCAGTGGAAACTGGACCCCCCCCATGGGATCGAAGCTGTGTCTGTAGCCGGAAACCGAGACCGAGCCCTTCACCCCCACGGAGCTTCGCATCTTTGCTGCGATCACTCGGGTCCGTCGATTTCGTGCCGAGACCGATCGGGGATCGGAGTTCAACGACACGACACGACACGTTAGGCTTGAAGCATCGTCACAGGCCATCGTCGCCAGGCTTTAAGTCTATAGGTGTCACGGGCTATCTGCCCCTGCAGACTCGAAGGGCTTAAGCTGCAGGTGTGTCAAAGCTCAGCCAGGCTTTGTCAAACAGGGTCGCTATAGGAGTTCTGGTTCGGTCTGGCTTTCCCTAACCCTTTTTTGTGGGCCGAAGTCCGGTCCAGACCAGTCTCTCTCTCTCTCTCTAAAACATGGTCGCCAGGCTCTCAAGGCTCCCATCACTTGCCTCTAGGACTCTACCAGCACCTTCAAAAGGGTCACCAATGGAAGCCCCTACACTACTAAGGGACCTCCATCGGACACCCCTTGAAGGTCCAGCTAGGAACATGGTTGCGAGAATTCCTAAATTTTTTCTGGTTTGAAATTCGTTGGACACCTGTAGGGGAGTCTCATTGATGCAACGGGGATTCCAAGTGAAAGGGGAGTCTGGATTGGTTTGAGACATTCCCATCAATTTTGACACCTGAACGGGAGGAAGTCTTTCACGTTCTTTATTGAGGTGGTTTACACAGATTCCAGTGCTCCTTAGGTTCATAGATTCCCACCCCGAGGTTGGAACCTTTCTACACTGAATCACCCTCGAACTTGCCTAAACCAAACACTCCATGGGACTGGAAAAAACATGCCTATATTACTACATTAACCCCCTGAAACCACCCCAGTGTATAGGCAAATACATGGAGTGTCTGGGCCATGAGATGGAAGATCTGCGAAGTGTATTCGATTGTGACAACATGTGACAACCATATTACCCATGACAACCCGTACAAATCTGGACAATCAGATCAATTCTACCTATATAAAATGTTCAATTGAACCATCCTGAAACATGTTGTCTTCAATATGTTTCTGATGGTCCAAAGCCGAGGATCTGGAAAGTGCAACAGCGTCAAGGCCTCTTCTGGCCGCTCCTGCACCGCCCACCCGACCTGAAAAAAAAAGTTTTTGGTGAATGAGATGTTCGTTGCCACCATGCAGTTGATGTTTCTGGGCCTGAAAGACATCCAAGGAACGGTGGTATCTGAGTGGTATCTTTGATCATCTTTGATCGCAAAGAACTGGGGTCGTCTCATTGATCTAAGTCATCCTGGAGGAAGCAAAAAAGTGTCTCCATACCCAAACCATTCCATGCGACTGGAAATAGTTACATACATCTATCCCCATGAATCCGACCCACGGATGGTCTGGGAAACTCTTCAAGTCCCACGGATGGTCTCGGATGTGGAACTGTGAAGATCTGCACGAGTGAGGATATGTTTCATGTGGGATCTGCGGAACGTCGAACTGGTGTCTCCCTACCAATTCTGGTGTCCACACGTCGATACACTCATTGGGTTGGGTGCAAAAGTGGAACATCAAAGCAACAGTCCCCTATGAGGTCCACGTGCGATTGTCTCCAAAAAAACAAGGTGGCATGAGTCGTTGGTGAGACCTGACCATAGTGAAACTGGAGCTGAAGGTCCCATGGTATCTCAGGAACTGAACAGTGTGGCCTGAGCAGAGCAAATCAAGTGAGGGTGGAAAACAGATAGCATGACATGTTGCAGCCAGTGTGGCCTGAGCAGAGCAAATCAAGTGAGGGTGGAAAACACATAGCATGACATGTTGCAGCCCACGGGCGATGTAATTTGGCACAGCGGTGCAACATATGTTGTGTGCTTTAAGCATACTCACAGGAGCTTATATATTTAACAGGCTACCGCCTGCAGCCGCCGTCGCGCGAAGATGACGCAGCCATATGTCATGCGCAGCATCATGGCTGATTCCTGGGTATGCGCAGCTTCATACCAGCCTCCCGAAGGGTAGGGCAGGGTGTGTAGGAGCTAGCGACTGCGCAAATTTCAAAATCCAACCAAAGACTGCCTGCGCGACAGCATTTTCTATTTTGGTCAGGCCGTTTTCTTCTTTCCAGTGGAGCTTCACGGAGGCAACCCTTTCGCGGTTGAGCTTTGCAATATCTAGGCTTTGCCTGGGGCACATATACACTAAAAGGACAAGAGCTTGCAGCACCTCTCTCCAGCCGTCTGTTGCCGGAACGGGTTCCCGTGGGATCCAACCAGTGTCGCACGGCCGACTCGCAGTAGCCCTGGGAGTACAAATCCTTCGCATACTGAAACTCATCCGGCGAAGGCTCCCGGAAGCAAAGTGGATATGGCATGGTGGCGGGCAAGCAAGACAGGATCTGACAAACTTCACCTGAGCGCTTCACCGTTTCGAAACCAGACACTATATCGATGCAAATATTGTTCCAGGATCTTTCAACCCTGTGTTGCTGTCTTGCTTTCGACTTCGCAACCTTATAATAGGTCAGCTATAGCTTCGCCTGGGCCACATTAACATACAGCATGCTCGCCAAGTTGGCTAGTAAGCCGCTATGTTCCAATGACATCCATGTGTTTTCTTCCTTCCCTCCCTTCCTCCCAAGGAACCCTTCCTCAGCTGAGTTCTCCCCGCCCTGTTGGAGGCGTCCTGGAGAACCGATAGAAAGACACGCAATAAAGGCGCTGTGTCGTGAAAGTAACTTACATCATTCTTCTCATATTCAAGCTTTCAGTGTGTGTGAGGTGCTGGGTTCCGCCACGGTCCTGCGTCCATGCGGTGGAAGAAATTGGGCGCCACCTCATTGATCGCCAAGACAAACACGTCTCCAATTTCAATTGGTGGTATTTTTTGAACGCAGCCATCAGCCAACAGCTACTTGTCAGGCCCTGCCATCTTGACCCTTCAACATGTACCGGCGCCGCCTGAACTTCATACCTATTCGTGCCCCCTCAGGCTTGCAATGGCATCCTCCGTATACCTCCCACTGCCAGTCGCAAGGCGCATGAGTTTGTAACATGTACTGGCATCAGGCTTGCATGGCTTCCTCCCTGTCTCCCACCGCTAGTCGCAAGCCAGATGAGCCACCAACATTGTGTAGCTGGCGTCTTCAAGGCCATTAGGGGCCAAGAAACTTCCACGTACTTCGTGTCCCAGGCTTGCAAAGGTAGCCTCCCTGCCTCCCACTGCCACTCGCAAGGGATAATTCGTTTGGTATCACGTTGACAGTTGGCATCAAAACAATAGTTTTGTCCAAAGCAGTGATGTCGTTGCAATTTTAAGTTCCTCTTGTTGAGGGGTTTGCTGCGCCAGCAGGTGTTTGGAAAAAACACCACCGAGTGGGCCAAATGGAGCGTCAACTGCGTCAGCTGCTATGAGCCAAATGGTGCATCAACTGCGTCAGTTGCGGTGCTATACTTTTGCTGCTGCAAAGGAATGGGTGTAACATAGCGTGTGCAATGTGCTAAGTTAAGTCTATGGCGTCAGCCGTTTTTCTTTGGTAACCTACCGGTCATGGCGACCTGGCTTGATCACGCTCGTTGGCTACACTGACACCCGACTTTCAACTCCAGCATTTTTCACACCACGTCGCTTTCGGTAGCCCTGTCGCTAAGTATTCTTCAGCAAGCGAAAGCACAGCACTCTGGGCACTTGCTCGGGCTTCCCAGCACGGATCTTGTTGAATGGTTTCCGTTTCAACTATGTAACGAAATTCTTCCGGAAAAATTACGTCCGAACCAGAAACCTTCCAAACATACCTTTGGTGCAGCCAGCGGAGCACTTCTTTCAAGGCCCCCTCATCATCCACAGTTTCAAACTCAGAGCTATCCACCGAGCATTCATATTTCTCAAACGGTGGTGTGCAGCAATCCCACTTGGTACCTCAGTGGTCCACAACTCATCCAATCAAAAATATCACCCAATCAGGTGCCCATAATGTGTTCCATTGGATTCTCTGCCATAGATAGCTCCCACACGGATCTAGACTGCAGGCTTCCACGCGGATGTCAACGGCTGCATTCAAAAACGGCTGCATTTCACACGGATGTCACGGCAGCATCTTTTGTCTGTTGAGAGGGTTTGTTTATCCTGGCTGAGAAGAGTTGCATCTTTTGGAGTATAGGCAACACCTAAAAGATAAACCAAAGGAATGAACAGTCACTGCGAGCTTTCAGCGAAAGCGTGCGGACGGATATACGTTTGCAAGCCTGTAGTCCATTTTCTTCTCGCTAGACCGTCGCATCCCAGCAGTGCGAAATAGCCGGGGCGAAATGTCAAGGCGGCAACCTCCTAACATAAAACGCTGACGATCATGCCATATCGCATCATGATTGCGCGGCCTTTTTCCTCTACACACGTTGCTTCCGCCGTGGCGGTTCTTCAGCTCGCCTCTCCAACGGTTCAACCAAAGCGTTGGCCACTGGACCCTCTTTCCTCTTTTCGGGTCTGTTCAACGCAGTATTCCACTGCGCCGGGTCATCAAGATAGCTTTGGGTACTGGCATTGAAACGTTTCGGCGGCAAACAAGCAAATGGAGGAAATATTCGTAAGACGGCCAATTCGTGTGCCAGAGTCTTGCTCGTTGACATGCGCCGTTTCTGTAGTTCCTGGAACACATGTGTCAAATATTCCGGCGGTCCACTCTCAAAGATAGACCAATCAGGTTCTTCATCAGAAGTCTCTGGCAAATTCGACAGTAAGGTGGTGGCAAGAGAGGTCGCCCTCCCCAGAATCATGTAGTAGTGCAGCCACTTATCATCGTTGCCATCAAGCAGTTTCAAATCCACTGTATGACCCATCAAAACAGACAGCTCATCTATGGCTGTCTTGCCTTGCATGTTGTTGTAAGTGCCAACCACAGCGGGCGCCACAGGTAGCTGAGTACTGCGCATACCAACATTGATTCTGGGACCTCGCCGACGAACAGGCCTTTCCTTTGGATGGTTGATCACTTTGCTACTTTGATAACGAAGGTCCCAATCAGCATTCACAGGTTCCATGACATAGACCCCTGGACGTTGCGTTCCGGTATAGTCCACTGATGACCCGTGGAACCGTATCTCTATCCATCGAGGGACGAAATCCAATTTCACCCAGCCTTTTTTCAAGCATGGGTGTTCAGCATGCGGCGGTCCCCCTGGTCGTTGCATTTGCTTTGGCAAGCCGAAGGATTCCCGCTCATGAAACCCAATGGCCCATAGTTCGCCGGTGGCTTCCTGCACAATATGAGGAGGGGCCACCTTGCGAGTGACTTTGATATCCATACCTAAAAATAGCGGCGACAATCCTGACAGCTTGCCAGTGTCGGTCATGTTGACGTGCATCAAGGCCATACGTAAAACATCCTGACAGCCTTTTTTTTGGTACATTTGGGTCAGTTCTACTATTTCAAAAAGCGTATTCATACTTGAAACCTGGATGGTTACATCTCTATCAGTCCTCGTCATGGGCATGTTGCTGAACATGGGGCCTGTCCACGCGCTGAATGAAGAACAGCAGTTGGCCAGCAGCCATCTGGCGCCCGATTGAGGAGCAATTGCCAGGGCCGATCGGCTCAAGTACGGGCAAAAGGTTTCGCAAGCATACTGTGGACGTCCGGTGTAAGAATTTCGGCCAGCTTTGGGCCCAAGGCTCACTCTAGCATTCCGAGCAGCGTAAACCTGTTGTTGCATCCTTGCCACCTGTTCCCAGTTCACCGCTGAAAACATCCCGTTGCAAAAGTTGTTTTTTCGAGCACGTGGTTCCAATCACAGAAGCAGGCAAGCGATAACCTGGTTTAGCCCTGGGATTTTCACCTCCAAGCTGCCTCCGGCTCAGAATTTGTTGTTTTAATCTTTCTGGGATTTGGGCGCGTCCAATTGTCTTCATGAGCTGCAGCAATTCCACCAGCGGGTCGTTTTTCTTGAAGCCCCTTAAAATTCGATGCAAGTACTTGCTACCCAATCGAAAGTTCTCAACCCCAGCATTTCCATGTCAGTCAAAGGTCGAACCCGTTCATCATGCTTGTACTCGTTTCGGTCAATTCAAAAGGCTTCCATCAGGCTCGGGCTTCCTTTGGGGACTGGTCGCAGCTGTGCAAAGTCCCCTGAGTCAACATGCAGCAGAGGATCTCCAAAGGTCCAAAGGGCGCTTGTTTTGCTTCAACATCTTGCACTTGACCGGCGGCCCTCTTCCCCGAATAAGCTCTGCAAGACAAAGCTCCATACAAACCAGGACCGGCCGCGCCGACTTCGTCATTGTACACTAATACAGCGTGACCCCAGGTCCTTTTCAACTTGTCCTTGATTATGCTGGATGGTTCTTCCATGGTAAATGTAGCTTTTTTCAAGAAGCCAGCACGAGAATGCATCGTTTCTCCTTCAATGAGACGAGCAGCTGAATTTTGCGCCGCCTGTCGACAACACTGTCCTGGCATGAACCGTTCATAGACCGGTAGCACAACTTTGGTGAGACAAAAAGTCTTCCCCGAGCCTCCGGCGCCGTGACCAAAAACAGGGGACACACCGGCATCGCTAATCAATGTCAAGCGACCTTCTGCTGTCTCCCATTCCGTGAAACGCTTTTCTCTGGTGGCAAAGCCGTGCACTTCTTGCAAAGGGCAAACACACAGAACTATCATTTCGCATTGCGTTGCTGGTCCCAAATAGCTCCACTTTCGCACGCACGCCAACCTGCTGGCAGGTGACTCTGGTCTTGGCCGCGAAGCTCTCCGACAGTCACAAGTTTGGGCCAAATATACGTGCCAAACTCTGAAAAACACGGTAGTCCGTTATCCACGGCAAAGCATCCTCAAGCACACTGAAAACAAGACGGTTCTCTTTTTAGTCGGGTTGGAGGTTGGATGTAGTGTATATATTATATATATATATATATCAAGTGGCTGTTTTCAATCTCTGCAGCTAGATGGGTGCGGCCCGATTGGGTTGTTCTGCAGCTACCTCTTTCTTCGTGAGGGCACGAGCAACGAGCTCGGCAACTGCAACCGCACGCTTGTGGCGAACATCAGCCAAATTGCGAAGCAGCTCCTCATACCTCTGGTTGGGCGGAAGTCGATCTTGGCGCTCCTCCAATATGCCGAGAGGCCTGTTCATAGGGCTGCTTGCGGCCACCTCCAGGGAAATGTCACCAAGGACATAAAGCCGCATCATCAAATGAAAAAACGCTTTGGCAGAAGCTGTAGATGTGGTTGGCGTTCTCATCAGACTTCTCACAGTGCCACTGATCGCGAAGGTCCATCCTGACATTCAGTACATTGACGTTGACCAAGCGAAATCGGCATTTCCCGACCTGGGTCTTGTAGACTTCGTCCTGAAACCAGTCTCCAACCCATTGCAACAAGGCTTCTGACAACCATTCCAGGAAGCATGGAGCAGCATCAACCCCTCCATGCTTCGTTCCAACCATCAAATTTCAATCATTGCGGTTCTGGCATGCAACAATCCTGCCGTTTCGGCCATGACTTGACTGTCTGGAGCATACATTGTGCACATTTTGGACGCCCAAGACCATCATATAAGCCCCGCAACACAGCTCCCCTCCCGTCAGAACGTGCTTTTCTACTTGTGAACTGACCCGGAGCAGCCTGTAATGATGCTTGTGGTGCAACCATGTCCTCGTAACTCGCATAATATAAGCAAGACCGCTCCACTCGCACAACGACGTTCTGCCGCGAAGCATGGAGCAGCATTGGCCCCCTCCATGCTTCGTTCCACTTAGCACCTTCCCTCCACAGCCCCGTCCACCCATGCACCTCCCGTCTCGCGCCCATGGGTGTGGACGGGGAAGAGACCTTTCCTTCCATCCACCCGTCCACACCCATGCGCCTCCCGTCTCGCTCCCCTCCCTTCCTTTCCCAGCCCCGTCCACACCCACGCGCCTCCCGTCTCGTGTCCCTTTCCTTCCATCCTTCCTTCCCCAGCCCCGCGCACCTCCCGTATCGCGCCCCTCCCTCTTCCATCCACAGCCCCGTCCACGCCCATCTTCCGTCCACGACAACGCTTGCTTTGTCTCGCTCTTCTGCGGCGCTAGCGACGAAACGAGAACCCAAGCATCGGAGATGCTTTCCGGAAACACAAAAAACATCAACTTGCAAAGACACTCATGTTCGTTGTGAAGCCGAAACTGGTTCCTCCCGAACTCTTCCTCCCGAACTTCCCCCCACCACAAGTTCACACCGCGGGAGAATTCCTCCCGAACTCCCCCGAGTGCAACACCTCCGGCTTCAACACCTCCGCGCGCATCGCGCGGACCTGGTGGCGTCACCGGAAGAGCTACCGAGGAGCTACCGAGCCCGAAGACACAGACACTTTAAAGAGCTGCGATGCCCAAAAACACAGTATAGGGACATCCATGTTGTTCGATTCGAGACGAGCTGCGATGAAGTAGAGTAGGATGAAGTAGTAATCAGGATGAAGTAGAAATGAAGTAGAGTATACAGACACAGCGGTTCTACGGGCTCCTGGGTCGTTTGAGTTGCGAAATGAACGGGTGTCAGCACCAAAGTTCCAGCCTTTCAGTCATCACGAGGGAAGTTCTGCCGGAGTCTGCCCAGAAACCTTTGATAGAAAGCTGACAATTTATTTGCAGGTCGCTTTCTCTAGACACATCCAAATGGAAGAGACTGGTGGTGCAACTCAAGACGCAGTTCGACTCTTCTCCTATACCCAAGATTTCCAGTCAATAGGATTGATTTAAAAGTATAAAGCTATGCTATGGACTGCTATTGACGCAAGAGAGAAAGCATCAAAGCCAGGCAAACCAAGCAACAAAGTGTAATGAACGCTCTTGACTGTCATACTTGCACTACACTCGAGTGTGATTCTTGGTCAAAGAGACCACTGGAAAACAAACCCTTTAAAGTCAAAACAAGTAGTTTAACTATAATTTAACTTCTAACAAGCCCAAAAAACAAAAAACATCTAGATCATTCTTAGATCTATGTCCCTTTCAAAAGGGAACTTGATCTTAGCAGCCTCTGGCAGCTTCCCACTTCTGAAGGCTTGGAACTCCAACGACCACCTGGAAACGTCGGGTGTTTTCACTCACCACCCACCCACCAAACCGCGGACATGTTCCACCACTCCATGAGTCACGTGTTCCACCGGTCCTGCTCTGTTCCACCAGGTTCCCCATCGATTTCTAGTGTGACGCCTCCATCCAAGGATGGTGAGAAAGACCCATCCTCCGTTTTCCCGCTGCACCTCTTGACGCGTTGGAATGCCTTGGAGTTGAGAGATCAACGAGCGAAGGAAAGTGGATAATGCCGCTGAAATGCCAGTCTGAAGGTAATAGCGAAGAAAGGATCTACGATCTTTGGAAAGTATCCAAGTGCAGGGGAACCTGATCCCCTCAGTCTCCCTGGAAAATAAAGGTGAGTGGGGTGATGCACTGCAAATCAGTGGAGGGGGTAACGTCCCCTCACTGCAGTGGCAGTCGAGTTGCCACTTTCTGGCTTCAGATTCTTTGATCGCAGCCAATCCTCCGAGGATCGGAGACACACCACGCAGATGAGGACAGGGACCACTACCAATAACTACGTGACTAAGCCACTCTCCGTGCAATATGCAAAACAGGAGGCCAAAAAGCATGAGAACATCCTGATGCCGTGGAGGTACCAAGGATGCTTGAATTGATGACAGACTCAAACAAACTCAGAAATCTTACAATAAGCGTTCAACAGTCCAAACTCTCTGTTTGTTCGTCTTCTTCTGAGCACTGGCAGTTGTCCCTCGTAAGAAGCCGGGTTGGTTCATTGATGCCCTTAAGAAACAATAAACTATATTTACATATAGATACACTGTGAAATGGCTTGTTGTGAACGATGTGGTGAAAGCACGAGCTGGATTGCTGTTACTCAAGAGCTGGATCTTAGATGATCTCAGCCACTTGGGGGGCTGATACATCATGACCCCAATTCTTAGCCATGATTGGTGCTTAAATCAGATTTGCTATGTCCCTAAGATAGGGTCCTGGGCCGGTGTTGAAGTCCTCGAAGTGCAAACATTCTCTTGTAGCCACCCCATGGATAGGTTACCCTCCCGCAAACGAACATGGAACCTAATAATTGACATTATATAGTGGAAGACCGTTTTCCTCTACAACCCAGTGTTAATCTGCAGGGGAGTAACATGCAAGGCTTGGTCAGATTCCTATGGTCCCACTCAAGCCCACATAATACAAGCTGAGCAACTGATAAGCACTCTCAAAGACATTAGAAGCACAAAACACCCATATGCCCTTCATGCAGAAACGTGCCAGGCTCTACCAGGCTCTACTGTACTATAGGCCTGTACACTCCCTGGAATTATCATGGAAATCCGAATACCAAACAGGTGCCATCCACTTTCCTTGTTTCAAGGAGTGTATTTATATAAACCATCTATCATGGGTCGGTGTCCTGGATTCCCCTACCTAAGGATCTCCAGCCAGGACACCCAGACAGGATCATGGAGCGGTCGAAACGCAATCGCAACGCCCGGCCTGGACGCCGTTCTGCCAGGTCTGGTGGCTCAAGGCTGAATAGGTGGCCAGCTGTATGACCTTGGGTGCCATGGAAGTAAACAAATGTAGAACGTACCAAACACAAAAACCATTAGCAGATTTCGACATAGGTCTCCAAGTGTAAATGTTATGGAAGTCCATGAAGGTAGAATACATGGGAATAGGTCAGCATACCAAAGAAACACATGAAGACATGAGGAAAAACAAAAGCATGCAGGAATGTCAGACATGACAGTATGCACAGTGGCTGCAGCAGGAGTGGTCGATGTGATATTGGACCCTGTCTATAGTAGGATGTAACTGTAAGTGTCAATATTGTCGACTCTTTGTCATTGTCAAGCGATATATTTGGCGTTGTCATTCTATTTGTCCTCGTTTGTTGTGGGTTGTCATGTTTGTCATTGGAGTGACCCAGCACACCTGCGCATGCAGGGCAAAACATGGAAAAAACAGGTCATTATATTTCAGGTGGGTAGAGGCGGGTTGTCTACTCCAAAATCCATCCATCCCTAATACCTAATCCTGTCAGGTGGGGAAAAAGAACCGCAACTATCATGTCCAAGGGAACCAAGATCCTGTGATGGTTTATGTAGAGTGGAAGATGAATCCCTCGTCCCACATCAGAAGGCAGGGACAGAACCCCGCTGGCACCCGACCGAACCACCTTCTTTTCGGATGTGGTCCAGGAGCCCAGGGAATAGTCATGGCATGTCATAGCTACATGGATGGAGGGCCCCGAAGAGTTGAAAGACCCTGGATGACCCTTCTGGGAAAGATCCGAAGACCATGCCATCCGAAGACCATGCTGCCATCCGTTGGGCCGGTGGTGTTCACTCTAAACTAAACCATGATGCTTCCATGGAGTGTCACTTCAAGTGCTCCCGCGGCCACGTCCCGACTGCCCGTCGTGCCGTCTCCTGGGCGTCCCCCACACCCGAAGGCCGCAGGACGGAGGCCAAGCGCTGCAAACCCTCCAAGGGCTTCGGCAAATGATGCCTCTGTTCCCACCGAGCTGACGAAAAGGCTTTTGGGACACTTGGGAAATGGACGAGATGTGGGGACCCACTTACGGAAATTGCGGAAACACATCTGGGAGAGGCTCCGATGGGAGATAGGACATATGAGTGAGAAAAAAGGGTTTAATATATGGATGGGACTATGGATGGAACCACTTTGGCATTCAAGAAACTGTGAAACGGATCCATCTGCGAGACTTTGATGATGTCTTTGTATTGAAGACCTGGGCAACGTCTAGCTGCCTAGTGCTGGTGCGACTGGGTGGATTTGGTCATCTAACCAGCGACACAAATTGGACATATATAATATATATATATCCTGTATATTACATATATTAGTCATTCAGCATGTCATGTAGATTCACTGACCTACCTATATAATCCACATCAAGAAAAAACAACATGCAAATCATGTGATGTATTTTCAACCACATAGATATGTTCTACTGGCATGTGGCATGCTGCACAAAACATGCACAAACTGCAGCGGCTTTCCAATGTTTTCTATGAACTGGCTAACAATAGCTCTGGCACCATGAGTGCCGGTGTGCCGACCCAGAAGCTTGTGATCTCTCAATTGAAAAGAACTGGTAGCTCACAAGACAACGATTCTTAAAGTGCTCTAACCTTCGCTTGGATCCGGCCTGCGAAGCTCAGACCGGACCCTCCAAAACCATGCCACCTGCCGTGGACGTCGAACCGTGGACGTCGTCGATCGGCGGAAACCCACCGACACCGCCCTGGGCCGACTCTGACGGCGCGAAGAACGGCGAGTGGCAGCACTCCGCAGCAGACCACCAAGTCGAAGCCGTCGGACAACAGTGGATGACCTGACGTCAGAGATCTCACATGGATGCCGCAGTTTGGACCCTGGCACCAGTGCCACGTGGTGTTCTCCCAGTCAAATCAAGTAAATATCCCGGCACTCCATGTATGGAATGTATGCCTACATTGACCCCCCAAACCACCCCAAACATTGACCCCCCAAACCACCCCAATGGGGCGGCATATATGGCAGTACCATGGAGCGTTTGGGTATGGTATAAAGCATTCTAAAGCTGCCAAATGAACCGGCATGTGATGGTTCTGAAGCAAATGTGTGTACAACGTGAAAGCCGGGCTTTACCCGGCCATGGGGCCCCTTTCCGGATGGTGGTGTAGTTGAGTGATGCAGTGAATATATGCCATGCCGGATCCCCCGAAATCCGTCGCAGCAGCTTAAGGTGAGGTCCATGATGTCTCCCACAAGGAAGCGAACCCGAGCCTCGGGCGTTGGCGGCGTTGGGGGGCCGTTGTGCCGGTGGGCAGTGGTTGTCGGAGGCATGAACACCCGCCGGTGGGCGGTTAGGGACGGTTTCTGGGGCTTTGTTTCTTGGAAAGGTTTGAGGATGATCGCTTAAGAGCGTTGATACCCATAAATCTATATATTTTACCATATTTTATACCATGCATGATACACCATGTTAGACCAGCAACTTCAAACAGACTTATTCTGGGATTGCAAACAAATACAGTATCTAGTCATGTTCTAGTGCTGGCTGCCATTTCCAACCCCAAAGTATCCACCCAAAAGTGGAGGGCCAAACTTGGCGATGCACCAGTGATTGATGAAGGGGGTAGCATTTGGCACAGTCACATGCACGACCACATTCCAGCAGTTTAGCCACAGGAACCACTGACCCCCACACGTTCGTAGGTGTCCAACCCAAAGCGAATATGGATTGACTTGGTCTAAGATTATTGTAATGAACATTGTTGAACGTGTTATGAGCAGTACAGTATCTTGGAGCTTGCCAGTAAATCGTTTTAACACCTACTTTCTCAGCGGGCGTCCCATGTGAAAAAGCACACCACCATTCCACCTCTGAAAACAGACAGTCCTTCTTCCACTCCCTCCACTCTTGCATGTCCGGGCCATGTGTTCGGGCAAGAGCTCCTTCAACTTCCGCTGCGCCACCGCCACGCTCTGGCCGAGTGAGGGCTGGAGGGGCTGGAACGCGTGAAAAAAAGCTCTGAAAGTCAGTGCCTTCTTGGGGAATTATATCGTTTAATAACCAAAAGCTGCTGCTGTTTCGGCTGTGGAGTTTAGACTATTGATGCAATACTGGCACGTCTGTGAACAAACAATGTGACCATTTGTACGTTCTCATATGACTCATCTGTGCTCCAAGAGCCTTGAAACTGCATGCCCTGCCCCTACCTTGCAGAACTCGCAGCCCAAAAATCCACTTGACTCCACTGAACTCAAGCCCCTTCCATCCACCCCTCCTCCAAGGCCCTCAACTTTAAACTTTAGTGTAGACACTTGATTCATAAACCCACCCCAAACATGGATTGAACAACCTCTTCCTATCGGATTATCGAGGGGTTGAAATATACAGTAATCGGCGTGTCGTCAATTCTCCTGGGCGGAGACGTCAAATGCCACCAACTCGGTGATGTCGCTGTAGGTCTTGAGTTCCACTGCCACTTGATGACCTTCTCGCGCGCGTGCGAGGTCAACCGACGACGGCTTTCGGACTTGTCGGCAGGGCGAGAGAGGCGGAATGGCGGCTGGGCCGAGGGTGTGAAACACATGTCAAAAAAAGACATAATAACAGCTTTTTGAAAGGGAGGAACATCGAGTTCGTAAGTAACCAAAACCATCAGAAACCGCTGGTTGAAGAATGTTGAAATGTCCGCAGTTTCATCTAGATACTTTGCGGTCATGAAAAGATGTCATTTAGGGGTTCCGGTGGAGGTTCCCTCCATAAGTCCGGACGTTGATGCAGTTCGACAGCAGCCGCTGCTTGCACACATTCCCGCTATGTGTGTGTTTTTCACTTGGGAGACTTCTTGGCCCAATGGGGAGACTTCTTGGCCCTGGCTGGGTCATGTAGACTATGACTATCATGACTGGTCTATTTGATGTCCATCTTTCTAACGCAGTCCGGGCAGTCCGATTCTCCCCGCAGGTTCTCCCTTGTTCTGGGTGTGTATGGAAACAGGAAGACCTCCTGGCAGTTTCTCTGGCCACACCTATGTGTTCTTGTATTTGACAAGCATGATCAGGCAAGTGGCGACACTCTGCGCGATCATGTTTGTAATTACTATATAGTACCATCTCCCATGGAGAGGCGTATAAAACCAAACCTGCTCTCACTTGGAGAGGATTGATACAGGGGTACACACAAAGAATCCAAGTTTGTCATATTTTTTCTATATGATTGGAGAGTCCAACGCACAACCCCTGTTTGACCGCCATTATCCGGAATCCATCACAGAATCACAGGCATCTTTCCCCAAAACATGGAACCCACAGAGAAAACAAACAAAGCCTTAAAACACAAAGGGATCCACGAAAAGACCTCCAGAATCACTCTGTCCCATCCACAAATTGCCACCGCCGCATGCGTGCACGTGTGCCTGATCCGCACCCGGCGACCAAGAGCCGCTTGCCCTGGCGAGTCATCGCCGCCTGGCCATGGATCTGGCATGGAGGAAGATCTTCATTAGGTGTTGGGAGATGGAATAGAACTGGTATACGATCTGGAATAATCTTTCGAAGGTAGGACATTTGCTGTTGATGAGCTTGTAGACCCAAAGACTCACTGAGAAAACCGCACAAGACCACCGCGTTCATCCGAGTGCTGAAGTTACACCCTCCTTGATTGGAGGTTGTGTGCATGCCAAGGGTCGACGTCTGATTCGGCAACCAAACGGTCTGATTCGGTAACTATGATTCGGTAACCAAAAGCGCTGATTCGGTAACCAAAACGTCTGATTCGGTAACCAAAACCGCTGATTCGGCAACCAAAACCCGCTGATTCGGTAACCAAAACTGCTGATTCGGTAACCAAAACCGCTGATTCGGTAACCAAAGCCGCTGATTCCATAACCAAAACCAGGAAACCAAAACCAAAAACATTTCCAACAGAAGAATCTGATGACCCGGGTAGTAGTAGTAGTAGTAGTAGTAGTAGTAGTAGTAGTAGTAGTGGTAGTGGTAGTGGTAGTAGTGGTAGCAGATGGTGGTAGTGCCACCGATGCAAAATCTCTCCGCGAAGCAACAGGAGAAACGTTGTTATCTTGGCCATGGTTCCCATCCACCCCCCCACCCCACACTCCTCCTGCCGTCCGCCACTAATTCTTACTTGAATGAATGTAAAAGCCCTTTGCATCCACATGGAACGTTATTATCTTGGCCATGAACCCCCCCCCACACCCCACACCCCCACCACCCCACACTGCTCCTACCCTCCACTCTGTTCAGCCAGATGCTGTTGATACAAGTTAACTCATATATGAATGCATGTAAAATCCCTTTGCATCCACATGGAACGTTATAAGTTATTATCTTGGCCATGGTTCCCCCCCCCACCCCACCCCACCCCACACTCCTCCTGCCGTCCACCACTACTTCTTACTTGACTAAATGTAAAAGCCCTTTGCATCCACATAAAACGCTATTATCTTGGCTTAGTTTCTGAACAGTCTAACTTGGTTTCTGAATCGACTGTTTTGGTTTCTGAATCGGCCGTTTTGGTTTCTGAATCGGCTGTTTTGGTTTCTGAATCGGCTCTTTTGGTTGCTGAATCGGCTCTTTTGGTTTCTGAATCGTAGTTGCTGAATCGCCTGGTTTGGTTTCTGAATCGGCCGACTTGGTTTCTGAATCGGCTGTTTTGGTTTCTGAATCGGGACTTGCTTGGTTTCTGAATCGGCCCGTTTGGTTTCTGAATCGGCTCATTTGGTTCCTGAATCAGACCAGTTGGTTTCTGAATCGGACTGTTTTGGTTTCTGAATCGTAGTTGCTGAATCGGCCATTTTGGTTTCTGAATCGGCTGTTTTGGTTTCTGAATCGTAGTTGCCTGATCGGTTGGTTTCTGAATCGGCTAATGACCCATGCCAAGAGATAGATATCGCAATCAACTAGAAGATGAGGTCCTTCGGCGACTGGGCTGGAGGACGCTACAAACGGAGCAAAGGGCATCGCTATTAGGAGCAAGAACGCTAGTTACTAGGGGCTCCTGGCCTTACGAATTACTACTAGGAGCAAGGAAGCTACTAGGGGCTCCTGGCCTTACTACTAGGAGCAAGAAGCTACCAACATTGTTTACTCCTTCTGGACGCAGCAACACCACGCAAGCTACCCAAGCTTCTCTGCTCCTGCACCAGCTGCGCTTGGCGCGGAGATTGAAAGCCGATCCCTCTCAGAGTAAATGAGGACCTTCCATCCCAATGGTCTATTTGCATATTATAATGACCTGAGGGCAATAGCCTTCCGCCCAATCTTCTGATCTTCTACCCCCACTCTCGTTCTTGAACTCCTATAGGAGTTAAGGCTCCACTGCTCTTCACCTCATCCACAACGCTTCACGCCATGTGGGCAGTCAATTTCTTGCTGGAAGCATCCGAGTCCGGCTCCTGTTCGGCGGTGGCGGATGTCTGCATTGCTGTGACCAGGAAATGCTGCACCACCACTGTCAGCAAGCTTGCAAGATTGAGAACACTTCGCCCTGGCGCAGGGACATACACATCTTCCAAATAGTTTGATTTAAGCTCTCTCAAGCCTTGTTAAGTCAAAACTCAAGACAAGCCTTGCTCAAGACGCGCTGAAACCTGAAGTGTTTCGGACCTCGTTTCGTTCCAAAAAGACCGCTGCTCGAGGCCAGCGGATGAGATCCGCTGACCGTTCGTTCTAGTCTTAAACAGGCCCTGCTCAAGACCCAGCACGCACCTTACAAAGTCCCTTGTCTGAGGCTCAAGGTTCCTTGTTTGAAGCATCTGCTCACGACCAAACCATGTTACAAATCTCTGGTCGCAGGCTGGTCCTGGTATTGTTCTTGCTGCAATGCCTAATCCACATGTTGCAAAACCCTTTGCTTGAGGTAAGCCCTCTCGCGGCGGTCAGTGCTGTTATTAAAACCCGGGTCACGCGACTTGATATTTCAGCAGCTGCAATACCTTAACACTACAGACAGAAAACCTAGAACATGCAAATAGATTGAAACTACGTCAAAAACCAGTTGGACAAATATTGTTGGTTGGAACACATATAACCATCAAAAACAATTCTGAACAAGAAAATTCCAAGTCAAATACAGCACTACTTTGAACATGAAAGACCCATGCAATTCCCATACATCAAGTGACCCCCCCAAAAAGTTAGCTTAGATTCTCTGTCCTGCACCTGATCTTTGAAAGGGGGGGCAGCTTCTGGGCGCTTAGCTTCTGCGAACCCGGCGCTCCGCTCCGATCTGCCTCGGAGGGGGCCCAGCCGGGACAAAGCCGTTGCAGGTGCTCGAAGATCGGCACCTGCAGTTGACGCGCCGTTCGGTTGGGAAGTGATCGGGGCGCCGGCTGGGCTGGGTGCTGGGTGCTTCTCCCGAGTGTTCGATTAAGGAAGGCAATGACGTCTCTTTCAATACAAGAGACCAAAGTAGAATAAAGTAAAGCTGTGGAGGAATTTCTGGTTGACTCTGATAGAGAACATTCAGCTGAGTTACGTAGACATTCACAAGGAAACTATCTGAATGAGAGTTCAGGTGTAGGGACTGAACTGAGAGTGGTTCCTGCACTGAAAAGCGTATATTTGGGAGGACTTTGTAGTATATATAATATTAATGATCCTGGTTGGTTGATGCACAATGCTTCCTGGCTCATGTCGGGAATGCCCAAAGGTAGCCCCAAAACCATCCATGTAGTGCCCTAAAAGCATGATCTCTCATGTGACTCATGTGCATTTCAAGAGATTCCTTGTTTTGACGAACCGGCGTGCTCAGAAAGCTGCACGTGGAACCACAAGCAGAAGGGTCAATACTGTTGCATACTGTGGCTACCCCTCTCCTACTAGGTGATCTGACAATATTGAACATTTGGTGCAATTGAACTTGAGACCCATGACAAACGTACCACCCACCCGTCAAAAGCAAGACCTTCTTCCAAACCCTGGAAAGGTTTGAGGAAAAGCATCTTGCCCAAATGATGATCCATTCACCAGCGCCAGTCAGTTCACCTGGCGAGACTCTCACATACAATCCCGCCAGTGAACTCCAACGCCTTCACTCATTCTCAGGTCCTTCGAGTCAGGTGAACCGGTGAACAGGTCCCTCTCTGTTCGATCAACCCAAAAAGACGACTGGTGAGTTTGTTTTAAAAGAATTCTGGTAAGTTTGTTTTCAACTCAAAAACCATCGAACACGAAGTGTTGTCAGAAAAGCAAGCGTGACCCTTTCTTTGCCGGTTCCGCCGTCTGACATGTTTTTTACTCGTCCATGTCCATCGACATCGGTCGTGGTGTTCCCACTTCCATCTGTTTGGTCATACCGCAGGATCTGCTTCAAGGACCCTCATTGACTCATTGCATGTAACATGTAGGATCATGTAGGTATATATTGTTTGCATCCTCCAGTGCAGGTGTCTTTCTGTCAACGCAGAACCTTGATGAACAAAACAAAACTAAATCTCCTCATTTGGATAGAACCACCTCTTCATATGGGGACATTAACTACATCTAGAACCCCAAATAGATAGAAAAATAGATTCCCATTAAACAAACAATATTGAAAACCGTTTCTATCTATGTATTTGGGGACTACTATAGTCTATATATATAATACTATCCAGCAAACAAGTGTCATTGACCTGTTGAAGGACTTGTCTCTCCTCGACCGGCCACTAGGTGCCCCGGACTGGCAGAACGCCCATGCACTCCACGCCCTTGTGCCAGGGTGGATACCTGAGTCATTTCCACAACAAGGTGGGTTGCCATGGGTGGCCAACTGGTCTTGGAAAGAAACATCCGGATATGCTTTACACTTATATTATACATGTAACATATATATATATATCCAATCATGAAAGTGTCCGGTTGTACTCAAACGCATCCTGACCTGTTCAAAAACAATGCGAATATGTTTATCTGTGTCAAAGGTTGAGTTTGGTCCCGAACTGATGCTGCTCTTGGTGGGTTTCCTTGCTGCTCTTGTTGCGGCCACCAGGGGGGGAACAGCGAGGTCGGCCACGAAAAAAAAAACATGGGGGGCCATCGGTGGCCATCGGTTCTCTCGCCTGCGTTCTTGGTGATATTGCTGAGCAAATCTACTCATTGTATCTCATTGTGAATATCACCCTGGCAGGTACACTGGTACACTCCCTGAAATCAGTGAAAAAGACACCGTTTTTTGCCACACCGTTCTGACAAGAGATGGCTGAAGGTGGGCATGGCTGAGTTTTACTGCACACTGCTCTGAGGTTTACTTTCAGCTGCCCAAAAGGGCGACACATGCTGATCGAAGAAACAAGCTTCAAAGCTCATCCAAACACCAAGAATCGATTCCGTCTTGACCAACAAGCTCACTCCTTTCCAGCGCACATGTTTTGCTCTCCCAACGGGCCCCCCAGCCGGGCTCCTGGCCCACATCTGAAAAAGGTGGTGGTTGAATGTGGTCGAGGTTGGTTTGGCGGGTTTGTTAGTCCTTCTGAGGTGGGACCGTCAACCCTAAAATTTACCCTAGGGCTCCTGCCCCATATCCTCAGGTGACCGGTGGTTAGACCCCCCTGACACCCACCCCAACCATCTTCTCAGGAGGTAGGCCAGGAGGTGTAGGGTTAGTACATGACAATGATTTCATGCCGCTCCATCCATGACATCGCTGCTCGAGTGCTGCCTGTGCCGCCCGGCACGGTGGCATCCTGAGGACGAGGGAATGATCTCAAATGGAGTCTTTAAAGGTCTTCAAATCTGTTTCAAAAGAGTGGGTAAATGGATGTAAATGGTAAGCCCTATGAGTTCAGCACCTCAACCTATGTTCCATTCTGCACAACCAATTACATTTCCCTGAAAGAATCCATGGTTACATGTATGGCAGAACTAACGCCCTACATGTTGGATGACCATGAAATCCCGACTCGGAGCAAACAGCTGGCTGTGATGAAAACTCCCTCACGCAAGCGACGCAAGCCAGCATGATGCACGCATGAGTTCTTCAAGGAGTGCTTTGTTCCCTCTAGGATCCTCTAGGATTCTATAGGATCCTCAAAGAAGTGGTCGGTGATGGTCGGTGACCTGGGATCTGTGGCTGCCCATGGCCGGACCAGTTGGTATCTGAAGTCGACCGCTTCGAAAAAGGGCGGACAGCTTCGGACCACGTCTGAGAGGACCTTGTGGACAGCGAGTCACTGTGGAAAAATAAAGAGAGTTCTTTCACTTCTGTGCATGGACCAATGCATGGTTCTTGCAGAGAATCGGAGACTCATGGAGAATTCCAACCCAAAAAACCATGAAGAATCCACATGCTTCACGCCCCCGTGCCGCCCCGGTTCACGTGGCCCCGTCCACCTCCTTCGTTCGTTCCGCCCGAAGAACGGAGCGAACGTTCCGAAGAACGGATGGGGCCATCTACTCTGCGAGCGGCGGCATCGAATGGAGCTCTTGATCTTATAGGTGTTGTATTATATATACCCTAGGGATCCAAGTACCTTCTCAGAAGGTGATTGGAGGCGCTGTTATGTAGGTTTGGAGGGTCCAAGTACCTTGTGAGAAGGTACTTGGATCCCTAGGGATATACCTAGAGCCTGACTGACCTTTGTGTTGATAGGAAGTTTGACCATATGTTGGATAGTTGATCCTCCAAAACAGAGGTCACAAAAAAGGCTCCAGGTATATAATATCCCCCTGTAAGTCTCTACAAAATGCCCCCTGTCAAAACAGTCCGGGGTGTCTCATTCTGTAGTGAAAACTTCAAGGAGGATTATATATATATATATTATAGTCTACAATGATGAGGAGTGGTGTCAGCCTTTCCAACAGCAAATTCTTGGAGGTGTATGGACATGTGGACTACTGGGTTTGATCGCCTTAATTAATGCATGCTTCTGCAGGCTTGTGTAGCCAGTCTAATCAACCAGGAAGGAGAAAAGATCGCACCCACGGTACTGCAATGTACTGCACAAAGATAGAATAGGCTAAGGGGGTTTGATGGAAACGGGTTCGCCTCTCCCTCCCTGACGCACAGGCGCATAGAAGTCCGCGCAGACTGTCTGGCTTGAGCTGCCAGGTCGGAGATGCTCCAGGCCCTGCAAGATGCTACAAGCGGCTGAAAGATGGAAAATCATGGATCCAGCCTCTTCTTATTGAGGTCAGCAGGCTTGTCATCTGCCTACCACCTGCTCCAGCGACTTCTATATCTTCTATAGTTTGTCATCGTGTAAAAACTTTTGTAAATAACTTGTAACTTGTAACCATATTTGGTCTACCGCCTTAAATGTGGGGGTTCAAAGTGGCATGAAACTCCAAGAAAATGAGGAAGGGGCCTCTCTGAAGAAGTAACCCACCTAAACAATCCAACAATATAAATCATTTTAGACGGAACAGTTTCCACAGCATCCACAGCATCGTTCAAAGCCGGTTACCTTGCAACGTGGTTTCATCGACTTGGGTTTTCTTGTTATTTGAATGGACGGATCTCATTGCAACTATTGACGCATATTGACGCCCACCCCACGACAAGATACTTGCAAAAGACAGGCGGGGATGTACGTCGTGTCGCAGTTTGAAGTCCTTTCCTTCTTCAGACGATCGAGCCTTCATTACTCACCTGATTGATTTTGGGGTCTTCAAACCATGGGAGATGACTCCGATTGGACACCGATCCAACCTCCCAACCTCCGTGACGGCAATCCATCGGGTCCGTTGGACTCCATGGACCGGGATGAGCCGTTGGGATCGTATCCCGCCCAGGAGTCGACCAACATGGAGCGGCTTGCGAGGGTGTCTCCATGCGCAGTGGAGTCATATATGTGTATTCTATAAATACATATAGTGCTCATGTCATGCCGCTCTCCTTTGCCTTTTTGCTCATGCCGCTTCTTCTGCAACCAAATAAAGATGTTTGGCACTTCTTGACTCTTGACCCATGCTTTTTTGCTTCCTGCAACACACGAAGCCCATCCTTTTTCACATCAAGGTCATGAGCTCTGCACTGAGCTGAGGGCTCAAATCTCCGCCGCAGTTCCGTTGCCCCCAGGTCACGATACGGCCCTCCGAGAGGATGGCGGCAAAGGCATACCAGGTCGATTTGATTTGCAACACATCTCCTGAACGTTTGGGCAACTTTGGGCGACTTTGAGGTCAGGGAGCGTTTGCAAAATTGAAGATTTAACATATCGGCCCGGAACTTCTGACTCCATTAGTAACCCCCAAAAAGGACACACACACACAAATGGATAGAAATTGGATGCTTCACGCGGAATTCTATATTGGTAATTTCAGTAACCATCCATTAAATACACAAGAATTGGATAGAATATGAGGCACGAACCTTCGTCTTTTCCCGATTTGGGTCTCCAAACTCAGTGGTTTGGGCCGGAATCGCTGGGAAAAACCCATGGTTTGGACCTCCCAAAACCGCCCATTCAGGGCACTCATTTCGTTCCTGCCCATGGCGGGAGAACTCGGCTGGTTTTGCCCCAGAAGTCGGCCGGTTTCAGAATCAGCCAGCTCCGAGGGCGTTGGATGAGAGCTCAGGATGACAGGGAGCAAGCGGGAGCAGGTTGGGGGGGGGAAAGCGTCTGGTGCAGCTTTCAATTTGGATGTGCAAAGCTGTGTTCTTTTGAGATCGTTTTTGAGGCATCCTTGCATTCCGCCCGTATAGGTGACTAGTGATTTGGGGAAGCTGAGTGGGGTCAGAAAAGGGTTCCGCAGTGGGCCAATCGGAGGAAAGGGGTTTTCATCCGGCGTTGTCAACCATTCTTGGACACAAAGTGAAGTCACAGGCGCTTTCGAACGTGATGAACGGAGACTGTCTTGACCATGGCTGATCTCCTTTCAAACAAGATCTCTTTCAAAAGGAGATCTGTTCAATCACACTGTGTCTCCTTTCAAGATCTTTCCACAATTGTCCACAGATCAATTGTTCATTCATGGCGAAGCTGTCTTGACCCTGTGCAGACGCGTGACGGATAGGTCCCACAAGTATGTCCCAAATGGTGTGTTTCTGCCCACAAAATTGGGGACAGTGGGAAATCGATACCATTCTTGACTCCACAAGTATGCCAAGTTTCTCAGTTGATCCATCACACGGCTGCTGTCACCACCATTCGCTGGAAATCCCCAAGTCCTTGCTGGCGAAAGGTTCGCGTCGGTTCGATTCATCACAGTCATGTGCTCAAGGCCTGTCAACATTGTGTGTCCCCAGTCTACTGGAGCATATGTGCCTTCATTCCACCTTAGATCATGCTGCCTATACAGGAAAACAACAACAACATTATAACATTAAAAAGACTTGCTATGCTCTGACTTGGTACAATGGCATCAAAGGGTCATACCAATAAATATCCTATCTGCTTGGACACCTATATCTATATCGTAATGTGGCACTGTGAATTGGGTGCCAACCCATGTGCCATGCCTCATCGCCCCATCCTGTGATTGAAAAGGTGACTGCTCCAGACTGATTGAACGAAATGCCAGGAATTGGGTGCACAAATAAAGACAAAGCACTTCCTTTCACCATTTCTCGATGCAAAGGATGCCCAATCCGTACCCAATCCCAATAACCCCCAACATATTTTCACTTGGAACGAAGGAACCAATCATTCCCTATGGTAGACAGTGTCCCGGCCGCTTCTTGGTATGGTCAGATTTCTGACGTCCCAGAAGTGTCTGCAGATCCTCAAACTGCACCCAGGGATCACCATCTTCCGACGGTCTGTCAATGGCGACATATCCCAGACACGACCCATGGGACTGCCATATATGCCGATCAGTTGGGGTGGTAAACTGGGGGTGAATGGGGCGGTATATATGGCAGTCCCATGGGTCGTGTCTGGGTATTGTTCCAATGAAACAAACAATCACAAAACTGCAACGCTCCCCGCACCAGGACCAGGATTCACTACAGATCCATCAGCTCGCAAAGCTGCAAAAGCCGTCATAGTGGACTGAACCCTTGGATGAGGTTGAGGATCGGCATTCTCCGGAGCGGATCCCTCCATGTCTTTTTGGTGGTCAAGCAAGTGTGTATTGGGGTTCCTCTTCATTGGTGTTTAAACATGTTTAAACCATTTCATTTAAGATATAAAAAATACAAACATGTTTGCATTGGGGGTGCCCTATTCACTGGAAGAGTTGATGATGGCCAGCAAAAGAAGGAACCAAACAACAATCAGGGGAGAGACTTCACAACAAACAACTTGGCTGTAATTTGTTTCCCCTTACACCAGAGATTGGGTTGAAGGTCTGGATGTCCAAAGTGTTTCGGACACAGTTGATCATTGTATGGGATTTTAAACAAAAGTAAACACATTGACATGTACTCCCCTTGACTTGGTTGACTTGGTACACATGCCCCCATGTTTTTAGCTAGCGGATTCGTCCCAAACGTCGATGATGACGAGCCAACTCCACGGTGTTGGACGTTAACGGTTTGGGGTCAAGCCTGGTGGGGCCCAGTGGGACCATTCCGTGGCATGTCACACGAGGCATAGATGCCTCGACCCGAGTTGGATCGGACAAAAACAGGGTCGAACATGTTTGGCCGGTGATGGACCCTTAGGATGGGTTCACCCACTTGAGAGTTGAACTTTTTAGGTCACCAAACTTCAATTGCTCAACCAAAAGTCTGCTGTATCTCCACAAGTTCCTGCTGCACGTGAGCAGAATCGCCACCCCATGCAGCCGTGCCCCAGGTTACCACACGTCCATCCTGTCGTAGTGCTGCAAAAGCTGCACTGGTCGCGGAGATGTGTCGCACGTCTTTCAATTCAGTTTGGACTTCACGACTATCGCCGCCTGAGACCTGATTGCCCCATGTCACCACTCGTCCATCTTGGCGAACTGCCACGAAAGCAGAACGTGTAGCAAATATGTGCTGGACATCCTGCAGCTTGTTGGCAGCGGGTGAACAAATAAAAACACACTAGTCACTAGTTGTTTTTATCATTTTTTGTTAGTTTATACTTTCTACGAGTATTATATATATATATAGTCAGAACAATTTAGCAAACTTATCATGCGTAATTACCAACATGTTTGTTGTCCTCAGTCCTTTAGCTCATGCTGAACCTCACTGCAGTCGCCGCCCCAGGATGGGTTTCCCCAAGTCACCACATTCACCAACTCACCATCCCGATCCCTATCGCAAATGGCGGCAAAGGCTGAAGCGGTTGCAGCAATCTGCTTCACATTCTTCAAGTCACTTTGGACCTCACGCTGTTTCCATGGACATGGCACCTGAAAAAGAATGTTTTACTTCGTCTGATCCCTGCATGGAAAACAACAGGCTACTGGCACAATGTTCTGAAATTTGTTCTGGCATCAAGCCCGGTATGTGGTCTGACACATTATCCAGCAGAAAGGTTGGGACATGTTCTGGAACAGGTCCTGACATCGTTTTGGCATCTGCCATATCTTGTGGCATGATGTGGCATGTATATACTTGTGACATGCTAGAGCATCTAATCTGGTTGTGCTCTGACATATGGTCCGACTTCGGTTCTGATATGTGTTCTGAATGAATTCTGACCGGTAAAAGTCCAGCGCGCGCCATTCCCGCAAGGGCAAGGGCGCGGGCGACAGTGGCGGACGAGGATGAGGAAGATGAGGAGGAGGCGGAAGGAAGGAGGGTGGGAAGGAAGGCAACACTGGCAGGTCGGGGAGAACAGGAAGGTGACCCTTGTTTTACCAAACAAACGCAAGGACTCATTGAAGGGCCCGTCATCAATGTGGATCCGTGCGGGCTCGTCATTGATCTATGAAAAGTGTGTGTTTCTTTTTTCCAGGGGTTCTCTTTGCATGTTTCAACACCGCAATTCGTTAGTCCGACAAGAAACATGAAAAGAGAAAGGAAGATCCCACAAAAGAGCATCAAACAATTTGAGGTTTGCTTGCTGAGGATCTCCACTCGAGTCCCCACCGCAAATACCCTTGCCCCAGGTAACCACTTCTCCATTCTCGCTGATTGTAGCAAAAGCTGAAGTCGTTGCGTGAATTCGCTGCACCTTTCCTGAGTTGTGAAGAACTGGAACGATCGCCAACAGTTTTGAAAACAAAATAATCATAATCTCAAGAACGGTGGAGTGTCTGTGCTGGTTCATGTTGGGATAACATGGATAAAACTACTTACACACATTTCTTTCTCTGATCTAACAACTATGGTGAAATCTTTTTGTGAAGGCCCTTCAGAACAATCCTTAGAGTCAGATTGGTTGACCAAGTTTGATTGCACAAGCGCTTCATCTATATACTCTTTAAAGACTGGGGCCGGCTGATTTGACGCCCAAAGTCTTGGACTGAAGACTTCAAAGACAAAAAGAAGATTTTCAAACTGACCGCACGCTTCGAAAACCAAACATCTTCAAGGGGCGCAGTTGATCTTGCACCTTCCTGCTGTCACCGCCACGTTCTGCATCACCCCAAGTGACCACAGATCCATCATTACAAATTGCTGCGAAAGCCGAGGCAGTGGCAAAGATCTGTTGCACGTCCCTGGGAGGATGGAGAAGCTTTTGCGCTCGCTTTGGGCCTCTCAAATGACCTTTATTGATAAACATATCTGGGTGACTCACCAACCTTTGGAAGATGTGCTTGCTTTTCGGGATGGGTTGCCCAGCATGAACGCCACTAGTGCCAGTGGATGGGGTCTCTGCAAAGAACTCATGGCTGTTGCTGAACGCAGAACCCCAAATTGGCCTTGCTGACTATCTTGGACTTAACCCTTCAAACTTTGTGATGCAAATGATGCAATAATATGTTTGCCTTACATCATCTGCATCACCAACTACACCAAATTCGCCTTTGCAAAAGACCATCAACGCTATGTTTTAGCCGCTCTCCCTTCACGCCCCCAAACTCAATTCGCTTGCAGGAGCAACTTAAGCCTGCCTATCGGCTGGATTTTGTGATGTTGAAATTCTAGATTTATTTACAGTTCAGTAAAGCCCAGGATTTGGCCTGGGCATGTTTTGGCGGTCTCAGGCGCGACCCCAAGAAGAGGAAACTTGGCAGCACGCGCGCTTCTTCCGAATATTGACGTTCGGCAGCGCCCCAATCAAAAAACAAACAAACACACAAACCTCAAAATATCTCAAGATCCTTTCTCAGACACGCCATTCCATGGGGCTCGCAAGGCAAACACATATTGTTCAAAACGGCTCGACCAAAGTCCTATGTCTCTAGCAGGTACAGTAGTATACAAAACGTAACTCGTTCTCCCAGTCAAGCACTGCATCCAGAATCCAGTGCACGTGGAAATTGATCCTTCGTAAAATCCATGAAGTGGTCACGATCATTCCTCCCACATAATTAGCCTTCGTTCCCCCCATTTGACTTCTGGTACTCGTGTGTTGAGGACCTGGTCCGGATCTGGATAGCCTACGCATCCGATCGTGATCCTTCGTATCCATCTACCCCAGGCCCCTAAGAGATTCTTAGGATCCGTGTTTCCAGGCCAACAAATCCAAACTATAAAGCTCACAAATCAGATCCATAGACCAAATCCGCCAAATCATGCAACATCGAAGGAATGCAAGTCCGTTTGGATCCATGTCTCCTGAGCTGCTTTTCCACTTCACCACAGTTGCCGCCAGCTTCTCGCCCTCCCCAGGCGGTGACACGTCCATCCGTGAGCACTGCAGCAAAGGCGTAGTCTGGGGCAAAGGGATCCGCTGGGGCACCGAGGTGTGTGTGTGTGTGTTTTGCTTTGAATGTTGCTGACGCCGCATATTTGACATAGGTCCACCAAAAGAAGAAACGTGTTGGCTGCGTTGTGAAATGTACTAGTCCCCAGTGGGTTGGGAGTTGTGGAACATACCCTGGCCATCCCTGGCCCTGGCCCTTTGGTCGAGCACAACTCATCTGCTAAGTCTTAACCGTTTCAACATCAACTTGCATACCTGGGCAAAAGCTAGCACTTTAGTCGCAACTCATGTGCGCATGAACTAGTAATGGCCACAAAGTCCTGGAATGCTGGAGCTGTCAGCTTTCAGGTACAGTTGCCATGGAATAGGCGACAGGGGACTCAAGAGGTAGGATGTGGACTCTTGCCGCAGGCATATTGTGGTTTAAATTCTAAATATTGAAGACATGGGAACTAGGATATGGAAATTGGTCATCTTCAATAAACTGCACAGTTTGTTTGTTTCTTTTTTTAAACCTTCTTCAAAACCACTTTTGTCCCTAACTCATTTGCCAGCAGACACCCCCTGTCAGGGCATGACTTACATGTGTTATCCCTAAAATCCCTTCTCAGTGTGTTTCCTGATGTTTCCTCAATGTTTGACTATAGTTAATTCCTAACGCATCTGCAAAAAACCCTTTTAAACAACTGTCCGTACAGTCCCAACTCTCGTATAGTTGTTGTTCTTCCTCAAGCAAGTGCAGGAGTTCGTCTATGTCTGCTATGTCTCCCTTTTCCAGGTCTTGAGGAGGTCTTCCCCCAATAATGCACCTCAATCAATGACCAAGACTAAAGAATAGAAGCTATCCGTTCCAGCTCTGGTAGTTGACAGGTGCCTTCTTCCAATCCGATGTGGTTCAGGTGAGGTGACTGGTGAACCCAAGCGAAGTCACTGGTGGAAGAGAGGAAGCCACTCGAAACGGACGATTTGCACTGAGTTTTCTCAGCCTGTCGCTCCTGAAAACTCTATATAATGGTTTCTAAGTCACCTCATTCTCCAGGCACAAATGATGGCTTTAATCTGCAGGGACTACTAAAAGTAGATCGAGCTGAAGGTGTAAACGCCGTTGAAGTGAGGACTGAAAGCGTCCAGGTGCAAACTGTTAGGCTGGATATACTCCTGCCCGAACATGTTCATGATATATAGAATCAACCTCCTATCCGACTTGGAAACCACCCCAAAGTCTCCATGCCAGACCTTCTTTTACAATCAAGCCTGCCGAGTCGCTGCTCACCAACTCACTCCACACCGACCTTCCTCCGATCGCACCCACCACAGGGAGAGGCCGGATCCCGCCCAGGACCGCGCCTGTGGCATAAACCTGCAGGATGTTCTCCGCTGGATGTTGAACCCATCGCGAGTCTCCACCATGGTTCGCATCTCCCCAAACCACCACAGGGCCTCGGTGTCCCTGTGTCCGGTTCAGCATGTCCAACCCTGTGAGCAGTGCAGCATCCGCAAGGCCTTTCTGGGGATCACAACTGGATGAACCCTCCAGCATGGGCTCTTTTGAGATGTGCTTCAACGACCTTTGACATGCCCAAGGTTACCTGTAGCTTCCCGAAAGTCAATGCAAAAAGAAGGACCCTCCGATTGTAGCGTGGCAGTCCAGGAGGAACTTTCTATCAACTATGTGCCCAACTTCTCTAACTGAATAGCCGGCTGTCGGGATTTAAGGCCGGTTCGCCCATGACCACATGATTCAGGATGAGGTCCAAAAGAGTGTCATGCTTGGGCTTAGACGCAACAAAGACCGCGTTTAGCTTACGAAGACTCAGACCGAAGACCCATCCTTCTTCACCATATATGCAACCATATGCAAACCATCCCAGTGATCTCCAATGAATCAGTTGCCCGGGCCCAAGCGGCCAGAGAGCATGCGGTACCCAGCGAAGGCCTTGGAGGTAGCCACCAGATCAAAGCCATGGACCACTGCACTCAGCTCGTCCTTAGCGCTCAGCCCGTCAGATGGCTGTGAAGTTGAGATAACCAATAAAAAGAGGAGTTGGTATTAGTGTGGAGAACTCATCATATCGCCTTTTGATCAACCCATCTCATCTCTAAGCAGTTGTTCAGACCAATCTGTGATGACTGTGGTGTCTCCCTTTCATCAGAAAAAAAACAGAAAACAAACCACATCCCATCCATCCCATCCATCTTGGTCCTCCACATCCAACGGCTGCCGCCCTCAAAACCACCAAACGCCCGCCCCGCACCGCCCCGCACCGCCCGTCCCGCCCCGCCTCCCGCCCGCCCCTACCCTCGGTCCGAGCGTTCGCCATCGTGCAGCCCGGAGGTCTCGATGGATTCCTTGGGATCCAAAAGAAGCCCATCGGAAGAGACCAGGCCTGAAGACCGAGCCAACGCAGAGCCGGAGGGACACCGGTCGGACCGGAAAGACCGACCGCCCCATGAGACGGGCGGAGGTGTTTCACCAGTGGACGAGCTTTTGGAAGAAGGACAGGGCTCCTGGCCCAGATCCTCGGAAGGTAGAAAAACCCCCAAAACCTAGCCCAATCACCTTCTCAGGGTTGGAGCCCTGTAGGTTATCTACGGGCCATAGCAAAGGAAAGAAGAACCCATCGACGATGTGAAAGATCGGGTCTGGACGAAAAGCCGTGACTCTCAGTTCTGAAATTGGGGCCTGAGGGACGAAGGAAGTATCATAAAGTCACGAGTGATCACTAGAAGTTAAAGACTGTGTTCTCTACAAACCAGTTAAAACTGGTGACAAAATCTCTACAAGTGATTTGTAGTTTTTAGTGATCAGTGATTTGTAGAGAAGTTAAAGACTGTGTTCTCTACAAACCAGTGACACGACCCGGACTGCCAGGACGGACTGCCGATCAAGCCAGACCCCCCTGGCACCACCCCTGGCCGTTTCTCGGCAGTCCTATGGCAGTCCCATGGAGTGTCTGCGAGTGGTATATTTTAGGGTGCGCTGACTTCACAACGACTTGTTGTGTTGCCTTCCGAAGCTGTAGCCTATGTGCCTCAAGACCTCCCGTAGCTTTCTACCATGGTATGTCAGGGTGTTGCATGGTTTGGTTTGTCCACCTGTGCACAACGTATTGAAAATTATACGAAAGCGACAGCAACAGGAGTGTAACTTATTCAAGCTGACTTTAGGGCACATGTACATGACAAGTGAACGATCACACCTTCCACATAAATCTCCCGAGGGGGTGCAAAGGGTAAGGCCCAGAAAGCTTACCATTTCACATGGGGCAACTTTTACCCAAAGGTATCCTCAGGCTATGAGTTCTTCCAATCTCTCCTGGTACACCAGCTTGCCAATCTTCTTCGACACAGGGAGACGACCAACGGTTTTGCGGTTCAATTGGAGTTTTCGTTCGATCAACATAACCCCAAACCTGAGGATCTGCAACTGAGACAAATGTACAAAACGAGGACTAATTGAGGGAGGTGATTGAACGGTGTCTGAACTTCGGGCGGAACATAGCCTGACGCTCAACTGAAAGCAAGCCAAACACGCGACTTTAAATTATCAACCGCTATAATTATTGATATCCAAGGATCTAAGAAAGCTTTTTGAACCACGTGCATGTAGCAACACTTTCTGAGCTGCAACTTTCCTTAGTTGAATGTGCATGTGGCGTAAGAGATGTCCTTCACTTTGTGAGGGTGATAACACGTTTCAAATTGTAGATGTTGAAGTCAATATATGCAACATTGGATTGAACACCTTGAGAAATATATATTGTTTCAGGCTGGGTGTTAGCAGATCTTTGTGAAGGTCTTGGAAGATCTCGTGAGAAAAAATGCAGGGCTTGCAAGCAGCTTCTAGCCTCATGAAGCTCCCATGTTTAATCCATTTTTGCTCCACATGTTCCAGAACATCTTGGAACATCCTAAAGATGATGGGTCAACTCAACTTGTGATGATCGCGATGGGCCCAGATTCAACTCCCGAATACTGGAGCTCCTGTGCACGGACAGCATGGCAGCCTGGCCACTTGGAAGGCTCACGCGGATACACAACGACTCCATGGCGGTGAGCACGGGCGCGGACGAACAGAGCTCTGCAGCCACGGAGTGTTCAATCGTTTTCAGTCAGATCAGGCACACAAAGTGTTCGTTTCAAAGAAAGTAGTACGTTTCCATCCTGTTTGGGCTCCTGTCACCGGCACGCACACCAACCAGCTTCGAAACGGAGGTAGTTGGAGCTCTGATTTATATTACAAACAAACCTCTTTTTTCAGGCTCCAGGTACGTCATCGTACCCCCTACAACGGATTCCACCCCCCCCCAGATCTCGCAATCATTGCACGTCGCAAAATTACACTCAGATACACTCACCAACAAGCAGGTTCTCACTTGCGACGTCTGTACATGCCACAATTCCATACACGTGCTATTAACATACACCTCTGAAACTCCGACTTCAACTACCTATTTATGTAAATAATAGTCTGAGTCTTGGCAATCAAAGTCTTCCCCCAACCAAACACCATTTGAACTACACTACACTCACCCACCCCAGCTCTATCTTGGCACCTTTATGATCTCCAGCTCTTCATTCACTTCACCGCTCCTTGAGAGCCTCGCGAGACCAGCACTCATCTGTGTGTTGAGCATCACCAAGCCGTATTGCTTGAGTCCTCTTGCTTCTCAACAACACCTGGCTATAGCTGAGTCTTGATTCTCGTCTTGAACCCGTTTCCGAATTGTGCAAACTAGCAAAAACTTGGACTTTATCTTGACATGGTGACCAAGTGTACGAGCTATCCATAGCAAATGCCTGCACCAACTAGTGCAAGAAACCCTGTTCGGGGTTCTAGGCACGTCCAGCTCTTCAAATCCTAATCAGCGACCACCTCACTCAAACACAAGAAAAGTTCTGAAATAACTGAACAGTGAGGCATATTCCTCTCCCCACAGCAGTGGAATCACCGATGTAACAACTGGAGATCACATTTCGGAGCAGCCACAGCAGGGCGAGGTAGGTTACATCGACTCTGCTGTGGATTGCATATGCTTTGATGAACAGGTACTGTTACCAGGAGCCTCCAACGACAGGTCTTTAGTCCTTGTAGATGCACATATCATTTGATGTCTGTACCAGAAAAATTCCGTCAAGGCTCAAACCTCTGAAGCTCGCCTCGTATATACCAGCTTGCTTGCTTCCTGCCGTCAAGACTAACGTGTTTGCTCGATTCGGGCGATTTTGGGTGTATGAAATATAGGGAGACCTCACACAAATTTCCCTGGACAGTTCGGAAAAATAGACCGAAACTCGTTTGGGCCAGGGGGGTCCTAATTGAAATTCACACCCATTCCAGTTTCGATTTGTTTTGCGGTCTTCGACTGGCGCCTGCGGATGGCGGTCTCCAACTCACGGTTCTTCTTCGCGACCTGATGGCAGTGGATGGAGCCGCGAATCGTGACATGGAGCCACCAAGGACTGGCCTAAGGTATACTCTTAATGCATAAAACCTACCCATTTGGATTGAACATAGAGCTCTTTATATATATATGAGAGATTGTATTGATTAAAATATACTAAAATTGTACACCCGGAAAGGTTAAGGTTTTGAGAAACATGGGCGAGGATCCTCAGGAACAAAGCAATCACCAACCGTTCGACCCGACGCAATCGTTAGACGGGACGGTCGAACGAGATGTTTTTTTTGTGATGCCAGGTGAGTGTGCAAGAGCATTTGCAGTGCAATAGCCTCATCTTATGCAGCTTATGAATTCGGTCATCTCATAAGCACCGACACATCCCATCCGAGATTCCCTGGACAATGCCACATGCAGTTCACTTATTGGGCATTGTGTTTGGTCAACTAAGGTGGGTATAAGGGGTTTGTGCACGTGCATCCCAGCTGCCACTGCAACTAAGTCGTACAGTATGCATGACTTCTCGTTTCATACCACCAAACCTCCCGTTCCAAGCAGTCGATTCGATCTTCAGCACGGGAAAAGGAGTGGCTAAAAGGACATGGTCCGGACGGAACTTCTGTTCAAAGCATCCAACAGCAAGTTTGCTTCTGTTCCAGAGTGAAGTCGGGACATCTGTTCGTGGAGTTGACAGTTGACCCAACGAAGTGCTGAAGGCGTCTTTTCTCAACCGGAGGATCGTTGTGGCACGGTGGATCCACCGTTCCAGGGGTCACAGAGCTCGGGGTGGTGTTTGGTTCCATCCGAGTGGATGTGACAGGGACACCCCGACTACCTCCAAGTTCGGCACCCCGACATGTGACTCCTGAAATCACAAAACATATGTTGCCAACCAATCTGCTTTTGGTCGACATTGGATGACATTCGATTCCTGAGCGATGCCGCATGAAGCCCTCGCTCGTCATGATGAGGCTATTGCTGGCTTTGGGCACCGTTGTTTGCATATTTGGGGGATCAGGTCCTGATTGGAGTAGAACCTATGCTTGACCACTGAACGGAAAATATCTGCCTGCTTTTTGGTGCATAGAGCGAATACTGGAATAGAGTACGAGCAATTGTGCTTGAGGACCGTCAATGTCATAGTTCCAACCATGTGGCAACCACACCAGGAGTTTAGCCCTGAGCATCGGTTATTGATTCTAATCAATAAGCTCAAAATAATTGATTTTGTAGTCTTCCAAATCAATTATTTTAATTGATTTGGAAGACTACATTTTCAATAGAAAAAACATTGAAAATCAATATATTTTTTGCTTTTCTATTGATTTTATCAATAACAAAATCAATTAAACAATCAATGATTTATGTCCTTTTTCATGCAATCTCTTCAAGATATGCAAGTGAAACTGATCTTTGTATTTTGTTTGTCAAAGTGCTCCACCCTTTTGCCAAGGGGTTGACACCTTTTGCCAAGGTGTTCCAACCTTT